CGAGGTGTGTTGTGATTGGCCAGCTATCCAGTGCGTTGTGATTGGCCGAATTCCTCAAGCGTGTGACGGAAATGTTACGCCCCTTACCATACTGCGATGCCGTGTCCAGCCGGAGCGACAAGACAAAAACATTAAAACCCATTAAACGAGGCATTTGTTGCATCCAGTGGAGACATAATTACGGATTACAATGATTTATACTGTCTTTTTAGCTGCACCGTGTAAACATAAAACCATGTCTGCATTTGTGATCGGAGAAATGACAAACAACAAGTGCTACTCTACACTGCTCAAAACTCGCGTTTGAATCATCAGTGGCAAATCCTTTAAATATGAAAAACGTAGTGAGTCAGAACTGCCGGCATTTTAGTCTAACGTTACTCTCCCAGGATCAGTAAACAGTCCTCCATAAAATGTGCTGCACACATCTGAATATTTGGGTTGAACTGTTCTGGAACGGTGTTGTAAATACAACTGATTTCTAGTTGTGTCCTCTTTTGGAAGGCCAAACAAAGTAGTTTCGCTTTCACAACGAAAAACACAGCTTCACATACGGAGCGTGAGCGGCGGCCGGCAGGCTTGAGTGAGCAGAGGCCGGCGGGCTAGAGTGAGCGGTGGCCAGCAGATTCGACGAAGGAGCGACCGACGGGCTTGCGGCAACAACATGTGACGAAGTTGATGCATTTCCTCAGCGACCAGCACGGATCAGCTCTAGGAATGACGAAGCGGATATCGTCCTCTTTTGGAAGGCCAAACAAAGTAGTTTCGCTTTCACAACGAAACAGCGTCTTCACGACATGGCGGCAGCAACAATACTACAGCCAGAATAAAAGTTATGCCTTCTTTCTTTGCATGAACATTTGGGCAGTGTTATGCAAATCTTCCCACATCGTGACATAGACATGTGGGGGCGTATTAGAACGAGCCGTTTTAGGTAGGCGTGGTTGACTCTTAACTTTTATAACGTTAAGACTTTTATCTCTTTGGATTTGAGACTTTAGTCTTTGCAACTTTACAGATCTTCTTTATGCACCAAGAGCTTGTAACACTTCAAAGAGAAAGGAAAAAATTGAAATCGCAACATATGACCCCGTTAAAAGCACATCTAGTTCATATTCATGATGTCCCAAAATAACAAAGTTGAGTAGCCTACACCTATTTTAAGATTATCTTAAGAAGTATTAAATAATAATTTTTAGTAGCTATATTAAGTACAAAATTAGTGCGTGAAAATAGTACAAAAACACTTTACATTATAGAAGTGCACTTTTTTTTCGCCTGGGTTGTGCCGTCCTTCCTTGTCGTGCGTTCAGCTTAGTTTACTAAATGCAGTAACGTAAAATAAAGCATGTAACTGGGATGAACCCATGACAGGGAAGGCGACACAAGCAGACTACAGCTTTTGGCACAAACAGTCCATCAGAAAATAAAAAATAAAATACGAAACGAACAGCTTCTTGTTATTGTTCTTTAATTAACAGTTAACACTCTTGGGAGTCGCTTGGCTGTCGACGCCTCATTGTTTGTGTATCTGCAGTTGCTTGGCTCAGGGTGGCGAGTTTGCGCTGTCCGCGACTTTTACTGACCTCCTGAGACCCGCTGTGTGTGCGCGTGTGTGTGTGAAGCGCTCAGCTGTCTGTCATAAACCAGCACAACAGCACGGGCTTCTCCAGAGCACGCGTACAGAGGCGCTGGCGACAGCTGAGTTGGGTCTTCAGTTATGCACAGCTAGATTAAAGCAAAGCGAGCCAGTATCCGCGTCAAAATGGACTGGTGTATAGGCGAACTAACGTGAAAACATCCTCAAATTGATTTAGCCCAGCGTTGTACTTGAACCACGGGATGATCTGTAGTATCTTGTTGTTTACTCTCGAAGCTTTTGCATTGAAGCGCAATGTTCACGTTTGACAGCCCTGCGTAACATTTCGTCCGCGCTGAACATGACAGAGGACATAATGACGGCTGTGCGCCGAAATCTTTCTCAAACAGCAGGTGCCTCGGGACAAAAGGATAGCGGACAAACTGAACCGACAAACGGGGCGATTCCTTCCTCCTCACCCGCGGAGCTGAGCCAGGACTCCGCATCCTGCACCAGCGAACTGACGCGCACGTGGCTGCAGTTCGCCAAGACCTTCGTCATTATCTTCCCCATATATGTCTTGGGTTATTTTGAGTTCAGTTTTAGTTGGCTTTTAATCGCCCTCACGATATTTTTCTTTTGGAAAAGAAACACTAGGTGTAAGAACACTAGGTTGAATAGAGCACTTTCGTTTTTTGCGCAAGAAGACACAGTTAAACAGGAGCTGGAGGCAACTGAGTTACCATCATGGGTGAGTTAAACTCGACGTTCATTGATAACATTTAACTTGTTTCAAAACATCATAGAGAGCACACTAGAAATAACGGAAAACTAAGAGGGAGTTTATTTTTATTTTCTAAATTATAAAGCTGGACTAAAAAGACAGAATGGGTTGTCTTTAGTGGAATTTGATGAGATTGATGGACAACTTGTTTAGTTTGAAATTTGATAAACCCAATATATTTTCTTGTTCAGAGTTGTTTTGCTTCATTCAGGTTTATTACATTAGGACACCTTGTTTGGTTTCAATGTTGTGTCCATTCAGCAAACTCTGAGTGCATGAAACATGACTTAAGTTTGATCCCAGCTGACCCCAGGCTGTCAGTCATGAGGCAGACCAAGACTTTTTGCCCTTTCGCCTGTGAAGGTGAACAATGTTATTCCAAATGATGCAGCATGTGTCTCTACCAATTTTCTGTCTATTTTTATCTTGTATATAAGCATTATCTTGAGCCTCTGCTCATCATGGCTGTAATCAAAAGCCAAGTGCAACAAAGTAAATATATGTTATGTAATGAGATATTTTGACCTGAAGGGTGAGGACCAAGGTCAGTCTGCGTAGCTGAAAATGAGGATTCACTGACCTGCAGTCTATAAAAATGTAACACTGCAGCATGTAAAACTGTAAATAACAATGAAGTAGTTAATTGTAATTACCTTACCATGTATGGCAAAAAAACTGCATTATATGTAATTTTATTGTGAAATACTTTTGTTAATAAGGACATATGATTGTATGTCCTTATTAACAAGGATTGACCCAATAAATAAGTGGTCAATCAATATGGGATTTCCAATGATGGACACCCAAAGTGTCATATTAAGTGTAGTGTAGTGTTAGTCAGTTATCAGATACATTTTCATTACATGGTCTCATAACGACCCACTACCATATCTACTTCATTTAGTCTTCAACTGCTCTGGAGCCTTAATCAAATTACATTCTGGCAGGAGTAAACTTGTCTGTGTGAGATTAGAAGTCTGTTGAACTGGTTTATGAGTTTGAAGTTGTTGTTTTTTTTTAAAGAAAATATTTCACAACAGTGGTGTTATGGATTATGTGAGTATTCACATTTTGTGGTGCCATGCTTTTAAACCAAGAAGTATCTTTTGAAACACTGATGACTTGTTTGTCCAGTTTCTCTGTGGTCCCTGGAAAGTGTGTGATACCTGAAGAAAAATTTTTTTTTTCTTGGTTCTCTGGAAGTGCTGTCTTAAATGACATGGGTCTATCTCTTGCCTAAAAGCTTCAAGCTTGCTACTAATGTCTAATTAAATGCATTGCAGTGTTCAAAGTATATACTGTTGCATCCATGTTACAAAATAAATATGTAAATACATGTAAAAGCATTTTAATATATGCCAGTGATCACAAGCAAGTTTTTTTGAAACCGATAGGGACAAGCTTTTTTGAAACATCACAGAATATCACATTCTCATTAAATTATGTCACTGTCAAGAATCTATAGTCTTTACATCTCTATATTACTGTGGTAACTCTACAATCTGTTTCATCTCTAGACAGATTTTTTTTTAAAGGAACATTCTCATAGATATCTGTCTATGGTCTTGTCGATGTTGAGAAATCCTCAGAGATCTCTAGTGACCATAGAAACACAGTTACCATGGGAACTTTCAGTGTCTTTCCCACATATCATTAATACTAAACAAAATAGTCAGTATTCATTTTGGAGGGACACCCGAAGTCTAGTGCTGGGTGTAGTAGATCTAGCTGTGTCCAAACCTATTTGCCCTGATTGATGGTTATACTAGAATATGTCAGTAGGAGAGCTTAAGTGCTGTGCACCAACACTGTTTTGCGATTAAAATAAATTCAGAGTGATTGCACTTCAGAAGGAAGTCCCACACCCCCATTTTGCCTCTTGAGATTACAATGTTACTTTTATAGGACATACAGAAGGAGGTTAACTTTATGGGTGCCACAAACGCATTATCTTTTCAGGCTGAGAGCATTGTTTTCTCAGGTAAACTGATGTGGCTTACCTGAGATTTTCCTTTCAGCTTTTGCTTAATGTCTTGGAGAGAAGCGTTTATGGTTTTGCAGCTGTGTTACCATAGTGATGAGATTCAAATGAGCCCTATACATTTGTTTTGCTTGTGTGTGGCATTTGTTTGTAATTTAAAGTTTCAGTTGTAAGATGTTAAATTACAGGGGCCTTTTGTGGTCAGTAAGTCAACATTCAGACAGGCAAAAGTGGCCGAAATCCTGTTTTTTTTGTTTTGCTAATAGACTCAGATCTGGTTTTGTTTTTATAGCAATGTGAACAGCACAAGCCACATGAAATCTGATCTTTTTCATTCTGGTTTAGGCCACTTTCGGTCATAAGTCAGATAGAGGTCTGCTGCGACCTCAGTCTGAATGGTCATATCTAGGGCTGCACGATAAATCGAAATGGAATCGAGATCGCGATTCGACAGAAGCTGCGATTGTCATGCGTATCTTTCAGTGAAGCACGGTTCTGTGATCAGCAGTAAATCTCCATCCAAAGGCCAGAGGGCGCTCTCGCGCTGAAACTCCAAATACGCCTCGCAGAAGAAACCCAGAAAATGCCTATGGCTGCAGCTGAATAACCAGAAGTTTCAACTGCTTTCATTGATTCAACGTGACTAATAAACACACGACTACGGAAATATACGGTTTATCTGAGTTCTTATTATTATAATTTTCATTAAAATAAAGTATATTTATAATGCAATGCCTTTATCACTGCTTAAATACTATGAAATATGTTGCGTGCCTTATTCTGTGTAAGAATGAGTGAGTTTGGAGTAAAAAAATGTTATTAAATGTAGTATTTTCACATGCTTTCAGATGGAGCAGCATTTACTTCACAGAGCCGTAGTTCACTGAGAAGCTATGCAAACAGCTGTCATTATCGCGAACGATTTCTTCGATTTCTTAATCTAGCAATAAAAACGTCTGCGACTTTTTTTTGCGTAACTTGTCAGTGAACAAGTTGACTTCATAACGTCAGGCTATGTGTAGTAAATTCTGCTCCATCTAAAAGCCTGTGATGATGATTTCCTGCTGATTACAGAACCGGCTTTTTTAACAAAATGCGAATGACAATCGCATTCGATTAATCGTGCAGCCCTAGTCATATCATAAATCAGAGTTTTATGATTAACATTCAATAAAAATTCTCCGTTGACGGGAGTCACTGCAAAGATTTTACATACCAGGATGTGGAAGAAAACGGCAAAGCTATTCAGTGGAGAGAAAGTGAGCTGTTATAGAATTATTACAGTTACAGCTCTACAAAATCGAAACTTAAGAGAGGACTATATGAGGGAAAACTTTGGTCTCTTTCTCCTCATCCTTGTCCTCTCTATTGCCTGCTCACAAATTTGCTGGCTCCTGCTGCACATCATCTTATAAATAAATGCATAAACACTGACTTCAGTGGCCTCCACATTTACTTCTGTATGACAGTATGCTGTGTGATGTCTTTGCTATTCTTTTGTGCATGTGGGTTAGTTCAGGACCAGTTCACACTTGAATCTGTTATTGGCTACAAAAATATGTGAATGTCCAAACAAAAAATTGCATCTGAGCAAAATAAGACACTGTCAACGTTGCCATAGTCTCAGAAGTTCTTTGTGGCGAAACAGTGCCTGTTGGGTGGAAAAAACTGTGTATTTTTGATACCTGATAAGTTAAATGGGTAGTTCACCCGATTCTGATTCTGACATCATTTACTAACCGCCATGTCATTCCTAGTCTCAGCCTCAGACGTCATGCCCATAGACCGCTAACTGAACATCTGATGCATATGGCACACAAAATTGGAAACACTTCGGGAGTTTCGAAGACGTCATCTGATTGGTTAAAGGGGTCATATGACGTTGCTAAAAAGAACATTATGTTGTGTATTTGGTGTAATGCAATGTGTTTATGTGGTTTAAGGTTAAAAAACACATTATTTTCCACATACTGTACATTATTGTTTCTCCTCTATGCCCCGCCTTTCTGAAACACGTAGATTTTTACAAAGCTCATCGTTCTAAAAAAGCGAGGTGTGCTCTGATTGGCCAGCTATCCAGTGCATTGTGATTGGCCGAATACCTCAAGCGTGTGACGGAAATCTTACGCCCCTTGCCATATGGTGATGATGCCTTGT